CATCTGTTTCAGGTCCCAGAATACCCCGAGCGAACGTTGAGCTGGCAAGCTGTCGTGGCGTAAACCAAGTCACGCACGTCTTTTGCTCGATCTTCGGCTTGAAGGCTTCCATGACTTCCACAGAATTAGAAACTATTTTGTGAAGTCGAAGGTTAGCTGTGGCTAGGGTGGCTTACGCACTCTTAACCAGGTCTGTCGCTCCTTGAGTAGATGAAAGCGAGGTCAAGCCATCATTGACGTAAAAAGTTACGGCAAATGAACTTTTGGCCTCCTCGCCGTCAATGGCTGTTCTGCGTAGGCCGTAGGTAGCGACTGCGGGACTGGGTCCATTGCCAAATAAGTGTACATTCATCCGATATTCTATAATGGGCTTTGACGGATCGTTACCTTCGAACCTTAGGAAGCGAAGGAAGTCTCTATGTGGTGGATCAACGTAGAATGAATGAAACATTTGCTCGATGTCGCACATTACTGCTATATTGTCCTTGCGAAAGCGCATGAGGACTCAATGAGGTTGCTCATCAGGTCAGGGCCTGGTAAAAATACTTTGTTCAATGAAACTCCTTCAAACTCGCAACTGGTATCAAATACAATGCGAATGGTGTGCTTTGTATTGTGATAAGTTGCAAAATGCCGTAAGTACCAGGAACGGCCGGGAGGCGGAACTTCTTCACTTGGGATAGCCGAGGCGTGGCCTTTTGTCGATTATTTTTCCCATAAACTCCAGATAGTCCGCTTTCATTTCGGGTTTCCGGCAAATGTCTTGAGAAGCCCTTGTAAGCGCTGCATAGCTTGAACTCGATTGTTCGGCATAGTTTGGCGCTCGTTACGAAACGGCATGGGCATCTCCCAGCTTCCTCTTGAGTTCTTGTGTATACCTCTATCCATTATCTCCAGAAACTTACGGTCCTCGCAGGAGAGACTGGGCTCGTTGTAACCTCGTGTCTTCCTAAATATGTCGTCAGTGGCACGCTCAAAGAGGGGTCTGTAACCTTGATCTGGTTGGGGCAAGGTACTAGCTCGTAAATTCTGCTTCCAGTCGCCGGTTCTTTCTCCGTAACAGTGGACAGGCTGATGAGGCGAGTGAGGACGTGTGTGGGACCACTGGCGAAGTCAAGGCACATCTGACCACTGATGGTCCAGCCGAGGGCCAGTCGCTGAGCCCAGGGGGCCTTTTTTTTCCCATTTCTGAACTCCCTGACTTTTAAAAGCTCCGCGCGTCTCGACCAAGTAAAAAGGTGAGTCTTAGCTGTCTCGTTTATGGGAGGTATTTTGTGCGCTATGGCCTTTAGGTGCGGGAAACTCCTCGCCATGTCTGGGGTAGGGATTTCGCGCTTGTCTTGTGGGATGGTATCGCACTCGGTGAGGGGTCGGTACGGCGAACTCTGCTCCACCAAGTGAACGTACTGTAATGCCTGCCACTCTTCGACCATACTTCTCCTCTTTCTCGCCGTTGCACGTGGACAAGAAGTATTTTTCTAAGCGTCCGTCCGCTCCAAGGTCGTCGGCTGGTTCGCTAGTGACAAGGGAACTGTTGCTCTGCTCATCAACGATAGCATAGACGCGCTTTTAGTGAGGTGTGGGTTACGTCGGCTATAGACATCCACCAGCAGAGTCTTGCTGCAGGACACGCCTCCTGTAGGTCCACAGAGCACGGTACATTTTTGGTTGACTGTTTCATTCTCCGGTTTAGAGGGTGGCCACTTCTCGTTATGCAGCACGGCGCTGTGACGCTTGTCTCCGCAGATAGCACACTGCACAGGGTGTTACACTGATTCGCGACGTGGTAAGGGCTGAAACAGCGAAAGCATAGGCGGGTGTCTTTGATCCACTCCGTACGTTCTTCCAGGGGTTTCGCCGAGAATGCTTTTACACTCCTGCAGATTGTGTCCGTCTCTTTCGTGATACGGGCAATGTTTAGTCTTAGTTTCTCTTTTTTCAGGGGCCTCTCTCTGTTCTTCTCCTGCACTATCCTTTCCAGCTGTGGGCTGAGTCTCTGTTTTAAGAGGCTGTCCATGAGAAAACCATGCAAAACCATGCAGAAGATGCTACAGGCTAGATCACAGAATTGGCTTATATTCTGTGAGTAAGTATACTTGGGTGTACTATTTTCAAATATAGTATGATTGGGGTCCAAGCGCCTTTCCTTTGTGTATACGAAGGGGGGTCCCCTCGGGAGACCATTTTTACTGTGATATAAGGCCGAAATTTCCTGAAGTTTAGATGCCTTGATCACCAATAATTTACGACGTGAGTGAAAAATGAGTAGCCGGCGGTCGAACTGAATGATTTAACTTCGACTAGGCGTATATACCAGAAAGATTGAGACTTCTTACTTCTCGAGACCGTGTACTAACCGAAGGGCAGTTGAACGCTTTTCTACAAGCTAGAAAAATATTGCACTTTTGAAATTATTTCTAAAATTTCTCGCAAACCTTACAATAAATCTAATATGGGCTAGGTTAAAAGAATAAGTTGGATTTTTGTTGTACGCTTTCAAAAATCTGGGTATTGTGAAATTATGGACACGTCAGCCTCGGAACTATGACAAACTATGAGCCAACACAATCGTTTTATTAAAAATAGACAAAAATTATAAGGAACAGGATACATAATTGGTCGCTCAAAAACACAACATGACGCTTCAAAAAACATACCTCTGTGACTGAGAAAGGCTAAAGGGAATAATTTTCCCGCTGTGATCCCAGTAAATCTTCTTTTTTTCGACGAAATGATGTTACTTCGGCTTCGGCGTGTAACTGGAGAACAGCCATAACCTGTCTCGTGACTATTTTCCCGCTCGTAGAACGATCAAAAGTAACTTTCACTCCCAAAAAGCTATTTCTTTTGCTTGAAGGATGGAAAATATATTTTTCGAACGTCTTCATACGCCTTATAATGCGATAGAAACTACGTCTTACAAACATGTGTGCATTTGTTTACCACCATCTTTGTTTTCGAGCCCGTGAACCAAGCGGTCTTCGGTTTCCCCTATGGAGATTGCTTTGGGGAGTTCTGGGAAGCGCAAACGTTCAGTACAGCTGTAAAAACATTTGAATTCATATACGAAGTTGTTAAAGCTATGTTGTAGAAGACAGGGTCGTATTCTGGCTTAACATTTTCTTCTATGGCTGCAAGTCTAACTTGCTCGTTTTCGAAACACTCGTCGATACCATGTGGCAATTCGAAGCACTATCGTAACATCAAAGAGTACGTGCCACTCCGTAGTTGCAGGAGAGATATAACCAGTCACCTTCAACGGTTGAAAACATCTCAAGCAAACATCAAAGGTGAATGGCAGCTGATACTTTTGAGAGCTGGGTTATTTGATGAAGATGGTGAGACGCTCACAATCTGTCCCCTGCACAGAGATATTTTTGGTACTATCTGGAATTCAAGTAGACCAGTTGCAAAATGCCATCATCCGCTTCATGGCCGAAGCAGGGCTAAGCCTGAAAGAGGGATTTCGTTGGAAATTTCAAAAGAAATTCATGTTTACTGGGGAGTTCTCGTGCCCATTGGATCAGGTATTTGTGAACTGTGTGGTTTACTCAGTTTCCCTCTTTCTTCTTTCTTTCTTTTTTTTTCCCAATACTTACTCATTCTGTTCTTTAAATTCTAGGTATATGCATCAGGTGCAGAAAATTACATTTAGAAGAAAGAGGGAAAAGAGAAACACAAATACTTCAGGTGAGTATATATTAACCTCAAAAGTGGTTCCGTTGGTCACACAAATTTTTTGTTTATTTGGAAATTTAGCAGCAAAGTCTGAATTATGAGGAAGCAACTAAAGTCGCTGTGGTTACTAGAGCAGTTCGATCCCATGGTTTCTTACCCTTACTTTTTACTAGAAAATCAGGCACTTAGAGCCGAAGAAAGTATTGCATTATAATATTATTTATATCGCTCAGAGTTCTGCCTAGGATCCCTCTCATAAATCCACTCATTCTTTCATTTCTTCAATTCTTCAGTCGCCCACTTTATCGCTGAATCACATATTTTTTTTTCATTAATTCATTCTCCTGTATGTGCGTTCGTCCGTTCGTTCGTTAGTTCTTTCCTTAATTCCTTTCCTTCGTTTGAACTTCATTCAATAAGTCCCTATTTGTAATATTTTACATTTACCAGGTGACATCCGAACACACAGACTATGTTGAGAATCCTCCTTATGGCGATCTTAAAAACCATGTGGTAAGTTTCCGGCTTTCAGGGACGCTTCCCCTACAATCCGTTGAACGGTATCTGGATATTGCTGATCCTTTTATAAAAACTAAATTACGGTTTAAAATTCTCCACGCACATTAACAGTCATCTACCATGGATAATATTTTCCTTATTTCAATGAATTTTCGAATACCTCTCGTGAAATCATTTTTTCCCCCCTTTTTTTTCCTTCTATCCTTTTTCTTCTATTTTCAAATGGAGTTTATTTCGAAGTTCCTCTAGCAGTAATGTAAATGACTGAATGAAAATAAACATTAACTCTTATTATCATTTAATTGCGTCTTCAGGAACAGGCGGCTCCTTTGGATTCAAACCCTACCACTGAATTAGACGACTTCATAAACGTTAGAGAAAATCGTCTTGTGGATGAGTGTCCGGTATGTTTATTTTTACTCATGCATTGATTTAACACTTAACATAAACGACAGATTAGTTTACAGATATTAATCATCTGCATTGCTCTTTATTTTTCTAGGCTGAATGTAATGAACATGAGCTTTGGTAGTCCTCTAGATGAGTCATTGCCAGAAGACATTTCATATGAATGGTGTTCTACTCCATGTGTAAAATCGAGACTGAAAGCGGTGAATGAGTTTATCCGCTCAGCTCCTTGCGCTCGTGGTAGGATAGATCCAGTGGTTCGTCAGTTGAGTATATCTTGGAAGGAAGCTGCACCAAGCACACAGAGATATTACAGACAGAAGGGGAAAGAGATCGTTGAAGTGGCTCTGGATTGCCTTGCTCCAGGGCAAGCCATAGAATTACTTTCAGAGTTGATGAACCATATGGAGAAAAAAGAGAAGCAAAATAGTGTAGATACTGATGTTAGCGAAATATCGCGCCTGATTAAATTGTACGAAGAGGCCAACAGTTGGTTTACTAAAAAGCAAATGCTGCCAGTATTTGTAAACGATTACTCTAAAGCACAACTTCAGCTGCTTATTCCTGGAGTAAGCATTTGGGCGATAGATGAGGCAACAAGGCATGCCGCTAAGGTGGGGGTGGGTAAACCAGTGCCACAGATGGAGGCCATTACACGCGCAAGACTGGATCCAAGCAAAGTAGACCATTTTCTACATTTTATCAGCAGACCAAATTTCGTGCAAGATGTTGCGTACGGAACAAAAACGCTAAAATTGTCGAATGGGGAGAAGATGGAGATTCCAAACGTGGTTAGGACAGTTATTGCTTCAAGGATTGTGGACTTATACCAGCAGTACTGTCAGGAAACCGGTTTCCTTTCACATGGGAGGTCAACCCTCTTCAGTATTAAACAGGTACTTATCAAAACAAAATCACGATTTAAAATCAGAAGAAGAGCGAAAAAAGAAAGAAAAATTGGGGTTTTTTATATTCTGTTATCTCATGTAGATATCACGAAGATATCTTTATATGCATTAATTGTGTGACGTTTCTTAGTTTAAACTACTTCTTCAGCTTGATTAACTGAAAATTCCTTTAGCCATGCATATAGGTGGGGATTAGAAAAGAGCAAACGCTCTGGATGAGAAAAGCAGTAAATATGAACACGAGGAGAAAAATATAACAAAATGTCATTATTGTATAGATTTGTGCGGCATCACAAAAGAAGTCTTTGGCAGGACTTGACAACATCGCTACAGAGGGATCGTAAGCCTTCGATACACTCGAAGACGTTGCAAACAGGCTAGGAAAGTTAGCTAAGCTCAGGTTGATTTAAGTTTTGTCCCGGGAAGACCTGAATCTTCCCACTTTGTTTCTATATAATGCTATTTTTCAGTGCACCTTTAACACTCAAACCACCCAACCTCCTAGGCCAATTTAATTTTTGGACTTCTTATTTCTTCTTTAAGGTTTGTCGAAACCATTTTATTAAAAAGCATATATTCTATACTGTGCAATTTGAACAAAGGCCTGGCCTCTTAACGAAATTTAGCATATATGAGCGGCTTTATCTTAAATAGAAGTAATTAAAAAAAAAAGAGTGGTAACATTAGCGTGCCTTTTTAAAGGTAAAAGTTCAGCCCTGGTTCAAGGTGTTAAAGATCGCTTGAAAGCTGGTAAAAGCTACCTTAAGACAAACTTTAAGATCCGCGTTTCTGAAGAAAGCCAGTGTGCTGATCACTGCCGGGTATTTGCGTTGTCTGACCCTGAAGATCATCTCTGTGAGCATGAACCCACGAAATCATGTCAAAGCTGCGATTGTGGTTTGGAAAGAAAGGCCTCTCTTGACATGTCACAGCCGTGATAACAAAACCGAAGGAAGAGTTTGAGGTATTTTCTACAGGCACATCCCACATCTGACTATGGGCATATCCAAAACGGTGCATGATGCTTTGTCTGTCTCTGTATGTACTACGCCGCTCAGTCGGATTATGCGCAAATCCTTTTTTGACAACATGGAACTACACTTATACGAAACGTAGGAATTGCATGCCGAAATTTTATCTTTTAAAAGGACACCTGTACTGATCTCTTCTAGGAAGAGATCCCTGTTTGTTGACACTGTGTTGATTCTCGTGAGCGACCGTTTACAGGAGGTTTGACGGTATATTCCTTAAATTACCATTTCAGTTTCAGATATTGTAGAAGTCGAATTTGTGTCCTAAATAGAAGAAATGCTGAGTTTTCTTCTTATTTCCTGAGTAACAGTAGAGTTATCCACATTCACTTGCTGTACAAAATACGGTAAAGGTAATGTATAAATTAGGTATTGCCAGTGGAGGTAGGTCGGTGTCCGCGTGACAGGTTAAAAGCTTACACTGATCAGTTACTTTATTGGCACATTCTACTGAGGAAATAATCCCTTGAAATCTTTAGCTATGAAGTGCAGGAAGATACGAGGCATAGTTATAGTCAAGGGATGAAACAACAAGTTGACAACAGATAGGATTACCAGAGCCGATAGTGTAACATTATTTCTTATGTTCATATGTATAGGTAAGGACATACGTTCATCTGCTGGATCACTGCAGCCAGAACTGGTTTGCTGTTGCATCTATTTATGAGAACACGCTTATGGAAATAAAGAGGAAGTCACCTGAGATTGTCGAGGCGTTTGTACGTAGTAATGACGCTGGATGTTGTCACTGTGCTCTTTTATTGCTAAGTATTCCTGGTATTAGTCAACGTACAGGTGTAACTACAAGCCGATACGACTTCAGTGAATCAAACAGTGGTAAAGATATATGCGATCGCCATATTTCTCCTTTGAAAAGTCATATACGCCAGTACGTCAATGCAGGAAATGATGTCGAGAACGCAAAAGATATGAAGAAAGCAATAGATTCTTACTCCGGAGTTAGAGGTTGCCGTGCATCAGTTGTAAAGGTGGACACGTGCGCCCAGGATCTGCATAATCACAACTGGAACGGAGTACTGATGTTTTCAAACTTCAAGTTTTGCGCAGACGGAATCAGGATGTGGAAAGCCTTTAATGTTGGAGAAGGAAAGTTCGTTCGTTACGATAAGCTAATGAAGAGAGGCACCAGCTAGGGAAGTACCCGACTGGAGGTCGTTGAGCCCTTCACATCCCCGCGTGTGTCGACTGGCTTCTTGTACAAAACGACGGAAAACAAAAGTGAACCTTGTGAATTCAGTTGCCCTCAACCAGGCTGCATGAAGTTATTCAAAACGACAACGGCATTACAAAACCACCAGGACTTTGGCAAGCACATTTTTTGCACCCAAAAGGACTCCACGCATGACAGTATTAAGCGTAAATGGGCTAACGCATGCACCAACCTAGGCCCTTCATATATTCCATCTAAAAAGAACCTTGAAGGACTGAGCCAAGAAGAGTGCAGAGAGTACCCCACTGCTGAGCCTGGCTGGGCCTTGAAGAAAAACAAGAAGACCGGGAGATTTTCAGAAAGATTTTTCAGAATGTCAAAGAGTACCTTCTTAAACTGTTTCTTGATGGAGAAGATACAGGAAATAAGAGCGACCCTGCCGTTGTTGCCTCAAACTTGAAGTCACTTCGTGGACCAGATGGCGTAAAATTGTTTTCTTCTAAAGACTGGCTCAGCGCTCAACAAGTTACATCATACTTTTCACGTCTCGCATCGGTCGCTAAGAGTGGAAAGCTTTCTTTAACCAAGAAGACTGTAATAGAGGAAGAAGATATGCTCGATGCCCTTGTTGAGAGAGGAGAACGAGAGTCCATGCGAGAGAAAGTCTTTCACGTTGTGGACTTATAGAAGGAGCTTAAAAACCGTTGAGAAAAAGATGGGGCAGAGCCGATAAGCAGCTAGATAGGAGATACCTGTTACCAATGCCCGTTATAACGCGTGCTCTCTAGGTGCACTTCATAAGAATGACAACACATTTTTTTATTAATGAAAACTTTTTGTTGTAAACTAAAAATTTGTCCCATCTCCGCACACGGGGCTCTGCAACCAATTTTCAGGCCCCGGTTGTTCAAACGTTTGTAAGTACTATCCACCGGATAAATCACTATCCAGCAGATAAGTACTAGGGAAACCAATTGCGTTATCCAGTGGATAGATTTTTATCCGATGGATAGCGCTATGCAACGTTTGAACAACCGGGATCTATTTCTTTCTAAGTTATGTCATATTGGAAGATGTGTTGGCTCTTTTACATTGTATACAACTTACAGCTCATTATATCACCTTATAGGGCTATAATATAAATTTAAAAAAGAGCTTACCCTTTGCCAGACAAAGCAAAAATACGAAATTTGTAAATGACATCAAAGCAAACCATTTTCTAAAGCACTAAGCAAAAGAACACTTCCCGTTGATTACACAATGGCCTATAATACCGCAGGTCAGTTTTTCATTGCAGGCGCATAAGCAATATGGCGGAAGAAAGAGTTGTGGTTGATGTGGCCCTTCTGTCGTAATTGGTATGTCCAGAAAATGATAACCGTTGTCAATTTAAATATCAAAATGGGCATTAGAGTATTGGCCTTTTCAACAGCACCAAATCTGAGAAATAAGTCGCAGCCTGTGTTTTATCGCACCACTCAGTCTTCCTGAATGGCAATGGAATGTGCACTTTTGGACGGTTTTATGGCAGATATAATCCCGTGGAAACATAACAATGTAAAGAGAAGGTTAGAATCTCTTATTAGGAAGTTTTTCTTGCAATTTCTTTCAAAAGCACTGGGGAAATGTAACCAATCCTCATGAATTGTAGCATTATCGTAAGTCAGTAAAACGATCAGTTTGCAAATGGTGACCAGTAAAACCTCGGTGTTTCTCTTAAACTATAGCAATACCCAGAAGTTTTATATACCAGAGCAAAAGACAATACCTCTGCGTAAATCATCAAGTATTTCACTTTACTTGAAGCTCTGCGAGAACGTTTTTCTTTTTTTTTGAAAACTCAAGAAATTCTCTGTGGAAAGTTTGAGCCAATTCTGTGATGTGCACTGTAGCACCTTTTGCATGGTTTTCTCATGGATAGCCTCTTAAGCGTTTTCTTTTCTTTGCATGGCTTAGGTGCTGAAACCTGGGTGGGGCTGGCTGCTTTACCGGCTAGAACGTTTGGATCGTTCTTTATCTTTGATTGCTCCTGGACTATTTTAGAGAATCTGGAGAAGGGGGGATATGCTCCGCCGTTGCTCTTCGAGTAATAGGCTATTTCTTTCTCCCATTTGGCGCGGATAAACGTCGGCAACTTCGCGGTTATTGGTTGCATGGCGTTAGGATAGTTGAGGCAGGCAAGTCTGGGGAGATAAGTCACTTGACTTTCAATATCCTCGCATAGATCTGCGAGTAGCTGCAGTTTATCGTGTTCTCGCTCATTAAAGGTCGCGGTGTCCCGTAAGCGCTCTAACAATGTATTGCTAATCACGGCGACGCTCCCGAAACGCCTTTCTAGTTATTCCCACAACTCCTTTAGTAATGTAACGGGGTCGCGCATTTGCCGCTTCCGGTAGTTATCAACGAGGCGTTGTGGCCTTCCGCTATTAAAGCTTCTTAAATAGTTTATCTCCTGAGTGGGGGATACATCAGCGTCTAACAGCATAGCTTTGAAGGCGGTTTTCCAGGGATGGAAGAGGGTAGGGTCCCCAGAGAATATGTCAAGGTCGGCAACTATCTGTTGATTTGCGACTGTAAGCGAATCTATCAGCTGACTTCCGGTGATATCTTTCAAAGGGGTCGAAGATATAAGTGGTTGCTGATTGAAAATGGTATTTTGTGGCACAACACGATCCTCATCTGTGGATTGCTGCTGACGTAGATCCGGGTTTAGGACGTGAAGTTCAGGGAGGAGGTCCGTTTTCTCTGATTTTCTTTCTTTGGGGGTGGGGCGCGATGGAAGCTTTATTTGTTCTGGCGTGCTTAACGGCTCGTGATTTCGCTCGGAACGTGATACCTTTCCCGTGGTTAGGGGGCTGGAATGTACCCACTGAGAAGTCCTCTCCTCTGCTTTAATTTTGGGAACTAACTCTGGTAATTCAAAATCTGTTTCAAGTTCTTCTTCTAGAAGAGCTTCCTCGAAAACTTTAAGTTTAGCGTTCGCCATCGCGGCCTTTTTCTCTGCTCCGAGAATCGCGATCTCCTTTTCGAACTGCGCTATCTCCTGTTGTCGAATTTTCTGTGCTTCTGCTTCGCGTGTCCTGTGCTCAAGTTCTTTTTGTGCTATTAGCCGCGTGTACTGAGCTTCTTCTCTTCCCACTTTAGCGTCGGCTAGCGCTTGCAATCTAGCGGTAGTGCTGCTAGTTTTGGAGGCTGATGAATGGCGCGAGGAACGACGAGAACACATAGATCTTGTCTCCAACAATTTGTTGGATTGTCTAGTAATTCTATTCTTTAGACTGTCTAAAAGTAAGAGGGTTCGGTTAAGGGTCTCGTTCTCTTCACTAAGTTGAGCCTCTTCTAAGTAATCGCCGCGTGAATCTTGTTCGTACAAGCCAATTAACTCCTGCAACAGTCTTCCAAACTCCTCCGAGGCGAGTGTAAGGTCACGCGCTACAGTATCAATATGGCTCTCATCACTTAGCCCTTCTACTGATTGCATAACACTAAGGAGCCTTTTTTTCGCGATCTAAGAATTTGCCTCCGTTTAAGTTCTACAGCGCTTGTAGAACCTTTTTTGTGGGTCTCGTCTGCCTTTTGCTCCTGGCTCCGCTCTCCATTGCTCCTTGTACGTTAAGCCATTCTTTTCCTGGGCTCGTCATTCTTGATGGCTCCGGGTTTAAAGTATAATACCGCTTACCTCCATTCGTTGATTTTATCCTCAGACTTATCACTGTCGCGTACCCAGTGCAGCGGACACGGGATGTTGTGCACTGGAGATCGGGAAGTGTCAACCACAGTAAAGAATTTAACAGCACAAGTTGACTCAACAGCATTTAATACGATTGCCAACTCGTCTGACTTATTGTACAGATGCGGTGAAAACTAAAAGGGCAAATTACAATGTACAAGATCAAAAAAGGGGCTAAGACTAATTACAAAAGAAGCAAAATTGATAGGAAAACGAAAACTAAATACAATAAGCTGAAACTTACGTCTGATCCTGTCTTAAGGGCTAGAGAAACTCCGGCGTTATGTAACTCCGAAAAAGATAAAACTGCTCTGAAAACTCCGATGTTGTTCCGTAGACCTCCTAACTCCAACTCCACAAAAACTAAGGGGGCGTTCTCTGATAAGGGTACAATTCACGTGTACAGTTGTAAAACTGGTTAGAAAACAGGAACGGCTAGCTAGGTAATTGATTCAAACTGTGAACAATAGTACAAGAAAATAGGGGCGTAGAAACTCAATAAATGCAACAGAACAGAAGCGTATCTTATTTAAATCAAAACAAAACTAAGCTTAGTTACGTAATCAAGATCTCTTTGATTAAATGTTCATTGTGCATCACAACATCTGAGGAGAAAGAGTACTATGTGGCGCTGTTTTTATCATACAGACCTCGGTACAAAATGCCGTATTTCACAATTTTTCGAGGCAAATTGCATTCATTCAATACTCAGGACCATCGAAGCACACGTGGACTTTTAATTAGCGAAACCATTCAAAAAATGTCCGAAATCACCTATACGGCCAACCGGTTCTAACTTTTGACAAGCGCCGAATATGCGAAGAAATTTTAAAAGAGTTACGCTTCAACGTGATAAAGAATTTGTTTAGTCTATTTTCTATTAATGGTTTTATAAGGATGTGTAATCTTAAAAAGCGTTTGATACGCTCGGCATTTTGAGTACTTCTGCAAGCGATGTTTATGAACGCCTGAAAACGAACGGCAAAGCGATGAACATTACACTTTTGAGAGAACCAACAATCAATAAAGAAGTATAATTCGGTAGAACATTTACAGAGACAACAATTTTCATTCACGAAAACAAATGAGTGTTTAAGAGCCAATGTCTGTAATTTTCGAGAATCGGTTGACAGTCGTGAATTTTTGAATTTCTTCATATTTTGCTCAAATAATCTCTATAGTACACTAATTTCAAAAATCACGTTAAAACTTGTAACAGCTTTTTATTTTTTCAGGAATCAGGCAAAGTTTGATAAACTCTAAATCGGCGCTCTTTCGAGTATGAAATTAGCGAAAATTAAGCATTTTCTTCGCGCTCGTACATAAAAACGGAATGATATCTCCAGATGAAATCAAGTCACAAAACAGACAAACATTTTTATTTTATAATTCAGCAATTAAATTTAAATAAACCGTTTAAATGTGACTGTACCGGCCGCAAGAAGAATCACGGTTTCAGCACTTCTCAAAAATGGCAAATTTGACCTAACTTCACCATCGTAAAAA